ATGTCCAACATTACACCAGCTCCAAAACCATAGTAATAATCGCCATTAAGTTTTGAAGCCTAAAGGGCCATGTGAGATCTATAAAGGGTGCTAAATTCCAGTGTGCTAGTGACAAATTCTGCTGCTTCTGTCTCCTTTTTGCCTTCCAACTGGCTCCGAGTGATATCCCAATATTAATATTTATTCATATTATAACACCAATATAATATATATAATATTTTTATTCCCATGCCTCATCGAGTTGACACACAAACAGAACTTGTACTTCCCTAACTCTCAATGGATAAGATTATATAATGTACTTCTCTGCCTACACAACCATCTACCCCTTCCATCATATTCAGGGCCCACATGCATGTATAATGTAATTCAAATTTTAGACTCCTTTTCAAAATAAGACAAGCAATTAATGGAAACATGATTCAAAAGTTGTTCTTCTGTTTAATTATTCAACCAGCTCCTAACTAAGATACATTCATGTGCTTCTTCTATACACATTATTCGTGTTTTCCTATAAACGTGTAACATACTTACATACATTGATGTGCTTCCAGACGCAATATTCGTATTTTTCTCAACAAACGTGACTAATTATCCAAATTTCATGTCCTCTTCTTGCAATTTTCATCACATTCCCATGTACGTAACATAAACATGGGCCCTAATCTCCTGCTTTTCTCTCTCTCTCTCTCTGTTTATATATATAGTATATGGGAAATTAAATTAAAACAACGTTGGCACTATGACAAAGTAATTAAATGAATATAAATGTTCAGTAGTTGGCTACTGATGAAGCTTGCATTATCTCTGGGAATATTAATTTAGAAAGTTTTCAAAATGAATTGTTTTTAAGAAAACATAAAATGTTCATACTTTGAATGTAACAAAATGAGTTAATGAGCATTTACAAAATAAAAATAAATAAATAAGAGGAGGATGTGAATTATAGAATATATTAGCACTCCAAAACAAAATAGACCAGAGAATTACACTGTTGCACACGGCCCAGTGTGTCATTGTGTCTGCTAAGATCGCAATGATCCTCGTCGTATGAACGTGTGGGATCACTTTCTTATGTTTATTTTGAATAAAACTTAATAATATATTTTATATGTCATTATAACATATATTTACACATTTTAACAATATACTAACATATTATATTTATTATATAAGTAAAAATAACTCTTCAATAAAAATAATTCTTAGTGATTATGTTTCTATAAGATATGTGTTATTATATGATAAATTTTTTTAATATATTAAAAAAAATTAATATGATATTTAATTTTTTTTAAATACAATACCTATTATAAAATAAAGAGAAAAGTAACTCAATGAATACAATACCTGAATATGATGGAAGAGCCGGCGGGGTAGGTGGTTGTGTGGGCAGAGAAGTACATTATATAATCTTATCCATTGACAGTTAGGGAAGTACAGGTTCTGTTTGTGTGTCAACTCGATGTGGCATGAGAATAAAAATATTATATATATTAAATATTAATATTGGGATATCACTCAGAGCCAGTTGGAAGGCAAAAAGGAGACAGAAGCAGCAGAATTTGTCAGTTCAAGTAGTTATTTAAGTTGTTGTTATGCTGACTATTGTTGTAAAGTTGTTAAGTTGAGGATATATGGTTAAGATATATATTTTAAGTTGAGATACATAGTGCTAAAGTGATAAGTTGAAAGTTGTTTTCTAAAGTTGAATCCCTTAGAATTATGCGGATGATATAAAAATAGTTGATCCATGTCATGGTTGAATGACCAAATTGAGTAAGGTATCTAGTTAGAGATGTAGTCTTTGACTAGATATTGGAGGGTGCGTAGTACTTGGATGGTAGTGGGTGGGATAACTCTATATGTGAATTGGTGATGCAAGTCAAGGCCGTGGTATTCCCACACCCAAACCTTTCTGCCCTAACAGTAGTGCTGGACCTTCAAGTTTGAGTGGTACACCTGAGTAATCGCCTATTGTTGTCTATACTTAGTTCTCTATGGAGTTCCTAACAATGCCCTATACCCGACCTAGTTAAGATAGGTTAAACGTTAGATTTGATAGGATTTATGTCATCCAAATTGCTCAACCTCATTTATTGGAGATTTCCTAGTTGTATATGCGTTGATGTTGTTTATGATGTTCTATTGTTGTTTGTGTTGTATATGCGTTGATGTTGTTTATGATGTTTATTGTTGTGAGCTCACCCTGGCTGTTTTTCCCTTGTGGTTGAGATTGCAATGACTATACCTTGGTATGCAAGCAGACCATGAGTAGACAATGTTGAGGTGGGTGAGTGGACCTTGGTTGTGACTCAACCAAAGGATGGATATTTTGTTTTGTTGCTAGCTACTAGATATTTTGAATATGATATTTTATTACACTCGTAGTTGTACATGTATTCGGGATTAGTAGTTGTAGAATCTCATTATGTTTATAACGATTAGTTGTGAATATTATGTTTTATACATGATGTCTGGTATGAACTGTGTTCTCCATACATAATTCACTAACACTATAAATTATGTGAGACCTGACAGATCGTTATATTAAAAATATATTTAAATGTTTTAAATATAACTCACTCTTTTGATTTTGTATTTGTGTAAAACTCCTTAGTTTCCAATTATATTGATATTTATAAATTATTTCATATTTATTTTAAAATTATTAATATTTAATAAAATATTCAATACTTTTTTATTAATATTTTAGTATAGTAGTATAAAAAACTAAATTTCAATGTATCGTGAGATTAAAGTGAAAAAAAAGAAGATAAATCTTTGAAAGTGTGAAGACTAAAAGAATGGAGGAAGTGAAAAAGTAAAACAAAAATATATGACACGTGATAAGATCCGTATCATTTAATTTAATCAACTGTTCAAATTCATTAGATTGGGCAATCTTATTTTTTCGGACTGGGGAGATCCAATATTTTCTATATATTTTTTATGTACGGTGTCTTTTATTAATATATATATATATATATATATATATATATATATAATTTTGGAACCTTTGTATAAAAATATAATCTGTATAATCAATTTTAATAAATAATAATAAAATCATAGGTTTAACTCTATTAAAATATTTTAATTGAGATTTTTTGTTTTAAAATTTTTAAGTGAATTAAAGAAAAATTAATTTGTCAATTTATTATTTTTAACCCACTAACTCATTAGCAGTCTGCCAATTCACTAATTAAGTGAAGTGAATTACATTTTTCAATCTATTTGTTTAGTGAATTAACCCATCTTATTCTACTTTAAGTAAGTTAACTCACTTTTTCACCCTTAATCAAAATTAACACTACTAATAAAATATTTAACATAAGAAAGAAGTTAACTAATGAAAATAACTTAGAAAATTAAAGTAAAAATAATATAATCATAAAGTATCACATTGAAATCAAAAATAAAAATGAGGTGTTTATGTCTTTCACATCATTATGATGTGAAATTACTAACAATGAGTAATAAATATGTAATATAATAGTTATTAATTTTTTTATATAATGACACATTTTATAGTAACATAATATTTATTACTAAAAATCATTTTTATCTACACTATAAATATAATTTGTATTTGTATATTATTAAAGTGTATGTATTGATTATAGTGATACCTAATATATGCTAAATCTCATTCATAATCAATACTAAAGTTGTATATAACTATATTTTAAATAGATTTATACTTACATATATTATATTTATGGTAACACTTTTTGTATGTTACTATATATAACATCTCTTGTAGTGAGTTAACTAATAAAAATATGTTTGATATAATGTTTAAATAAATTTATATAAAAAGGGAAGTGTAGAAACAATATTTATGTTATAAATACTAGTAGAGTTGAGGCACTTCGTGCTTCTATTAAAATTAAACTTAAAATAAAATAATAAAAATATATTAATCTAATTAATATTATGATTAATTTATTCTTAAATTTGATTAAAAAATATTTTTAAAATAAAAGGGTATAATAGTAAAAAAAATAGAGATGAAGGTGGTTACTGAAAAGAGAATCTCCTTTATATATTAGTATAGATTATTTATTCACATATGTATGAACTAAGTGAAGATTTTTTTTATTTATACATTTGTAATATTTTTGGTCTAAATTAAAAAATAAAATATAATCATCTCTTATTAACAGTAAAATAATATTATAATAAATATCTAAAATATCATTAAATAACTTTAAAATAGTAATAAATTTTTTATTAATATTTATAAAAAAACTATATATATATATATATTATAATGTTGGAAGCAAATATAAAGTAAATAAAAATAACACTAATAATGAATACAAACATTATTAATAAAAAAAGTAAAAAAAATAAATAATAGACTAATAATATAATTTTAAGAAAATAAAAAATATTACAAAATATGACAAATATATCAATAATATAAAATATTAGTATATAATATTATAAAAATTCTCATATAATCATAAATTGTTATTATAATAAAAAATAATAAAACGTGTTATAAAAAAAAATACTCAAAAAAATATTATACCCATGCATATACTAAGATTTTTTATTTTGATTAATATTTTTTTAAAAATATTTATTTAAAAAATCAGTAGTGAAAAATTTTATTTTTTATTTTTATTTTTATTTTTTTTATTAAATTTAGATGGTGAGAAACAACATTTGAATTAAAGAAAATAAACGGCAAAAATAAAAAATAAAATAAGTCATTAATATGAATTTTCAAGACAATTGCTCGTAATATTAACAACTAAATGACATTGATTGATTAAGTGTCAAGTAAATACATGTACATGCACATTGTTGGATAAGTAATACAGAGAACATTCAAACATGTTATATATAAAAAGAATATCCTAGGTTGTTATTTTTTTCTTCTCAAGGAGTGATTATTAAATACACTCATTTTTCTTTTATATATTTTTTCCCTTGTTTTCTTTTTCTTTACTATTACATTTCTCTATTGTTTTTCTTCATTTTCTTTACTATTACATTACTCGAGTTTTTCTTCTTCTTTTTCTTTACTATTACATTTCTCAATTTTTTCTTCTTCTTTTTCCTTTTTCTTCCCATCTCTTCCTTTGTTTCCATATCTATCTTTCTTCCATCTAATACATCCCAGAATACACATTTCGCATTCCCTTTTCTTCACCAGGTGGAATAAGCTATGGGTCAAAGCAACTTTGGATGTCAAAGAAGCCCAAAATAGGTTCAGTGCCTGTCCAAAGAAACATAATGAACGTCACTTCTAAATTGAAAAGGAGAGTCTTAGAGGGTAACATGGAAGAAAAATTTAACAATACCATAATAAATGTTACATAACAGGTAAATATAAAAATTATCACTATAGATGTAATATATATAAATATATATCTATTTGATATATAGTTACAAATAATTTTAGTATTAATTTTGAATGAGATTTAATAACATATTTTATGTGCTACTATAATTTATATATCTATAATTTTTAACAATATACTATCATATATTGTATCTATTATGTGGATAAAAGTAATTTTTAGTGACAAGTATTGTGTCATTATACAGTGTGTGTCACTATATGATAATTTCCTTATAATGTGTTTGCTATAGCTATATTTTTTTTTTTTTACCAAATTAAGACAAATGTTAATATATGTATGGTTGAAGAATATTTGAAAATATTTAGGTACATCGATTAAAGATAAAGCAAATAAAAAGTTTTATAAATTGAGAACAATTATCATCTTACAAGTCAATTTTAAAATATTGTGTTAGACTTAAATCTACTTTATAAAAAGAACATTTACAAAATTAATTTGACATAAAGTAGTTTATATTTAAATATTTTTATTTTAAAAACAAGTTTGATGTAAATTATTTGGGCGTATATATTTTTTTTAATCTAATGCATAAGTTTCTTTTTATTACATAGTTATTTAGGTTTAGAGATAAAATCAATTTGACTTAATAATAATAATAATAATAAAATATCTATATTTTTACTATAAAATCACTTATGATAGGTACTTGTGTCTATAAAAGTATAAGCACATAAAAGTATAAGCACATAAAAGTGTAAACACACACTAAACCTATTGATATGAATCAATTTTATTATAACAACGTGAAGAAAGGAGGATGATTAGTAACATGTTACATGTTACAAATCTAGGTTCATAAAAGACCAAAAATATGTTAAAATTAACATAAAAATATTTTCATGTTAATTCTAAAGAAAAATGCTAATTAATTTATTTATGGCACTAATTAAGAAGTTAAAAGTTGAAAGTCTTTATTGAAAGATATATTTGCATGTTTTTTTTCGTGTAATTTTTAACAAAAAAAATATTCAATATTATAATTTCTTAATTAACCAATGCCATAAGGACACTTGTTAGCAAGATCTTATTCAAAAAATCATGTTAAATGTAAATCAATGTGTTACCAAACACATTCCAAGTAGTAGTCAAAAGAGTGAATTGTGAATATCACCTCCCTTGAGTTCTTAATTTCCACCAAATGCTCCTCAAAATCATCCAATGGCACATTCAACTCTTGCACATACAAAATGCTAGAAGTAGTTGTCATTGGTTTCACTTGCAAATCATCACTCACAACAAATAGGAATGGCCTCTTCGTAAATCCCACGGGAGATTCTCTAGCTCCATCAGAAGATCTTGGATCAAAAAGTTTCAGAGCTACTGGATCTTCAACCATATCTTTATTCTTTGAAATCATATTACGTCTGATATTAGCTTTCCCTACTACACTGCCATACCAATATCTAGGAGTGTCTTCTTCTGGAACAAGCATTGGCTGGCTTACACAACCAAATTTATTAGCTACCCCTGGATTCAATAAAGAATTCTTTGATGACCCTATGAACCAAGATGGATTGAGATTCTTCACACTTGTGTACAAGTTATCAATGTTTCCTAAGGATGATTTGCCATTCATAAGATTCAGAATAGATCCAAGAGGTATTGAGAGGAAACTGAATAGAAAATCTACAAAATCTCCCTCTGCTTCAACGAACAAAATCTTGTTCTCTGATTTTCTCATTGTTATCTTAAGTTTTATAAAACTCATATGTTGACTTGGGTCAGTATCTGGTGAGTACATCATTGGCTTAGGTCCTCTTTTTGTCAAGAGTGCATCACATAGAAGAGATTTGGAGGTTAATGCTTGCTCTAATGTGCTAAATATCTGGAAAGAAAAAAAAAAAGAAGAAGAAGAAGAAGCAAATTTTAAGCTCGTAAAGTTATAATTCATTAAAAAAAAAAGTTGCCATTATCAAAATATTGCTGTGAAGGAATGATATTGAGCATCCGCAACTTAACATAGCTAATTAACTGAAGTCTAGGAAGGTTTATCAACTACATACTTTAGTGGTAAGTGCAAGTCACAAAAACGTTTTTTATTGGAGAAAACTCACAACTACTCGTCCCAACCGACCCAACACATATGTGATAAAATAAGGTAATATATGTATTAAAAGAAATTAATATCACATTCATTAAAGGTAAAAACAAATAAAAATTATATAAGTGGAGGAATCTTCATCTTACAAGAAAATTTTGTATAGTTAAATTAAATTCAAATTAAATTTTAAAATAATATTAGAATTATTCTAAATCTACTAAAAAAATTATCCATCATTTATTTATATATAAAATTTAATAGTGTTGGATGTAAGAAATACATTAAAATAAATTTAAATCTCACATTAAATAAAAATAAGACAAACGAAATATATACATGAAAGACAAATTTGTAAAGTTGAATTAACATAAGTACTCATTTCAAGAGTATCTCAAGAGTTTTATTGGTGCAGTATTCTTTTTAATTAAATGATTAAATGCAATTGCATACTAAGTGAATACAAAGCAAATATTATTACCTCGTCCTTGCCAACGTTTAAAGTCTTTTTTGTTATCTTATTGATGTCTTTGTATCCAAGTTGCCTTAGTTGTTGAATGGTGTTACCTGGGGAGCTTTGTAGCACTCTCAAATCATTAAAGATCAAGAACATGGCATCCCTTTTAACAAAAGAACCATTGTCCCCAGAAGCCTCTTTCTTGGATTCTTCCGCCAGCTTCATTTCTATCCTCATCAAATTCCCACAGTAGCACCTTGCCCCATCAAAAGTACTCAGCAGCAAGTCACCACCTTTTGAACATCTTCCACACATTAAATACTTTGTGGGCTCAGTATCATCTACCTTCACTTTTAGTCTCTTGCAAGAGGCTTCTAAAGGGTTGCGTGGAGAAAGCAACATTTGCTTGCACATATGATTCCAGAAAACATCATCGGTGCTAAACTTTTCCACACTATGGTACAGATTGTTGATGCAACCAATCTCTAAGGGTTTGTTCTTCTTGGACACAAGCCGCATGATGGTTCCCAATGGAAGGGTAAGGAAACTAAAGAGAACATCTACAAAGTCTCCACTTGCTTCTATAACTACATATTTTTCTTCTTCTTCTCCTTCGTTTACCCAAAATGTCAAAGGGATTGTCGCTTCTTGGTTGGAATCCATGTTATAAGAAAAAAAAAAAAAAAAAAAAAAAACTACTGAAATCAATGTTGCAATAAAGATGATTAGATAGGTTTTATGTAGAGGACAAAAGGAATGATAATGGAACGGATGGAGAACAATGCAAGTCTCCCTAGTTCCACATTTTGGAATTGCTCAAGGAAGAAGGAAAGAAGTAACAAATATGCATGGGTCCTAAGAAATGATACCTTCCCTCCAAATATAATTAAAATATTCTTACTATAATCACAATACAATATAATTGGAATTTTTTTTTACTTTTTATCTACTCCAACTTTGTAAATTAATTCCAGCAACATACAAAAAGTCGTTTTCTCTCTCTCTATATATATATATATATGAAGAGGGTTCAAACGACACCGGTGTAACTTTAACTAAGTGTTACACCGCTCAATAACTTTATATTAAATGTGAATTTTGAAAATCCAACCGTTGGATTGAAAGTTCATATCTCTTAGATCATATATGTCAAATTTTGTTAAAATTCAACAACAACTTGAAGGTAATCAAAGTATTCATATTTTAGTATATTTTGAAATGTATATATTACGTCAATTTTGTTTCATGAGAATGAAGTATCAAATCATCTTAGATTAATATAAAATTTGATATATATGATCTAAGAGATATGAACTTTCAATCTAACGGTTGGATTTTCAAAATTCACAATTAATATAAATTTATTGAACAGTGTAACACTTAGTAAAAGTTACACCGGTGTCGTTTGAACCCTCCTCTATATATATAATAGTCTTCTATATTAAAGTTTATATTGTAAAGTTTACCTACTACACTAGAATAGAAAAATGGAAAACTAATCGGGAGATTTTATATGAGATTTTATCTTATTTCAATTCAAGTAAACAAGATTTCAATTGGTAGATTTTAGTCATTATATTCACCGTAAATGTAACTTTATAATTATAATTAAAATGAAAATGTTTTAGCATACGCGTGTCATTAATGATTAATGTTGAATATTATCTATATATTTTTTATTTTATCCATATAAAATAAACAGTTTTAGTCCTCATATTTTTTTTAAAAAATTCTTATCCTCTAAAATTTATAGTTATTATTTTTATTCTTAAGGATTATTTTAAGTAAATAAATAATATTTATTTTAAAATTTTATAAAAAAATTAAAAGTTTAATGCATTGAAATTGTATACTAACAATTGTTGATAATACTTGTGATTATTACTTAATTTTTTAATAAATATACAAGTAATTAAAAATGATCGACACTTATGATTCATTTAATATTTTAATAAACATACAAGTAGTTCAATTTTTTAATAATATTTTAAGAATTTTTCTTCGATGAATTTTTTTTAATTTTTTTTAACTAGTATTTTAACTTATACAATACACCTTGTTAAATGTTTATTATATAAATATAATTTAAAATAAATTATGCACATAAATAAATATTATGTTTGAATATATAAATTATATGTGAAATTTTAATAAGTAGATATGTTTAAATATACAAATTATATTTTATATTTATGACAAATAATTTTTATTATAACACAAGATTATAGTTATTTATTAATAATTTTTAAAAATATTAAATTTTATTCACTCATAATTACGATAAATAAAAATCCCGATATGAAATTGAAAAAATATGTAAAACTCCTATTGTTGAAAAAAAATTCTTAAAAATATTCCTGTGTAAGATAATCGTGTGTATTAATATTTTAAAAATAAATTATTGATAAATAAAAATAATCTTATATGAAAAAAAATTCTTAAAAATATTCCTGTGTAAGATAATCGTGTATATTAATATTTTAAAAATAAATTATTGATGAATAAAAATAATCTTATAAATTATTTATTATAAATTCAAAATAATTTATATATTTAAAAAATATTTATTGATACAAATTTGATATATAATTTGTATAATTGAATATAATATTTATTTGTATATATAATTTATCATGTATTTTAATTATATATAATAAATATTTAATTTAAAAGTAAAATTTTAGTAATTATGATAAATAAAAATTAATTTAGATAAAAAAAATTTAAAAGTTTTTTTTTATATTAGATAATGTATTTAATATATGTAGAATAGATATCGCTAATTTGTTCGAAAAAAATTGAAATGTAACTCATAAAAAATATGATAAATAAAAATGATCAGATAAAAAGTTAAAAAATCTTTTAATTAAGAAAAATCAAGTAAAAAATATGATAAATATTTTATCTTCTAATGAATGATATAATAAATTAATAATACTTTATAGAAAGAAAGAAAAAGATAAAGTGGTTGTTGGTAAAGCTCTGAAGGCTCCATCCCGGTGACCTATAAGTAATCGACAACAAGAGAAGAAGATGGCCCATGTCTCCTAAAATTCGAATAAAGAATATTTTAATTATTCCGGAAAAAGTTTAGCTTCAAATACGCACAATCCAAGATTCCAATTGGCTCACACAAACACAATAGTATCATCACCCAAATCAAAACCAAAATCAAATCCTCTCTTGGATCGGCAACAATACGATGTTAGAGCTGCAAGGCGAGAACGCCATGCCTATGAGTTCGACCCGCGTGGCGGCGATCAGCGTGGTGGACCACTACCTCCCCTACGACTCCCACAACCTCTACGACGTCGCTTTCGACACCCACACCATCCGCACCCTCCTGGCCTCCGACCCCTCCCTCGTCCACTCCTGGCTCTCCGACAACGCCCTCAACCGGCCCGGCCTCCTGGTGGGCCTGGACATCGAGTGGCGGCCCAACACCCAGCGAAACATGCAAAACCCCGTGGCCACGCTCCAGCTCTGCGTGGGCCCACACTGCCTCGTTTTCCAGATCATCCACTCCGCCATCCCTCCTTCACTCTTCTCCTTCCTCGCTGACCCCAACGTCACTTTCTTTGGGGTTGGGATCCAGGAGGACGCCGAGAAGCTTCTAGAAGACTACAATCTCAATGTGGTCAACGTCCGTGACCTTCGCCCCCTCGCTGCGGAGAAGCTTGGTGACCCTGAGTTGAACCGTGCTGGGCTTAAGTCATTGGGCCTCCGAGTGCTGGGCCTGGAGATTCGGAAGCCCCAGAGGATCACCAGGAGTAGGTGGGATAATCCTTGGCTCACTTCTGATCAGGTTCAGTATGCCACAGTTGATGCCTTTCTCTCTTATGAGATTGCCCGCCGTTTGACTTCTTCTAATTAATTATTATTATTGTCTTTTAATTCTTATCACTTGCTTAATACTCTTTCTTAATTTTGTAATTTTTACTATCATTATGCCTAAAGTAAATTGTGAGTTTATTTGTTTTGCTACAATTAAACTGCGTTACTTATCTGTTACCTATGAACTGTCCATGATCCAAACCCAGCTGTGACCGAGTGTGATGAATATAAAAAATAAAAAATTCATTTTAAACAATAAAAATTAAAAGATAAAGTAAAAAAAAAAAAAAATTAACCAGTCTTATATTTGATAAAATGGAGTCCATGAACACATACAAAGCATGACATTTGAAAAGCTAGGGCTATAGTATACGTACAATTGTGTTATGCAACACCCACGACTCTATTTCTAAAACCAAGCTTTTAAGTTGCCGTTGCGGTCATAGTTTCGAAGCGATCTTTGATTTTGCAGATAAACGTTACCGATGAAGCCACAATTATGGTTATCATGTTGTCGGTAAGAGCCCAAAAGCCACGATGTTGCAGCCAAAATCGGAATCGCAAAACATTTTGTAAAATTTGGTCTATAACTAAAGACCAGATGGAAGTGATTAGTCCATTCTCCTCGTCAGTGGATTTTATGAAGTGTTTCAAACCGTCTGTCAAAGCAATTGTTGAGGTCAAAGAAGCTTTCAGTATTGCAAGACCCTGCACCATGCAATCAAACAGTGTGAATTGTGAAGTAATATCATACTATACAAACATGTCAACATGCTATGAAAGAAGCCTCTCATACAGTGTCTTACCTCCTTCACACCAATTGTGATGACCCTTTCCTCTAAGTCAGAGAGTGGTACTTTTAGTGTATTTAGATATGAAACAGCAGAAATGCAAGACATTGGAGTCACAACCAAGTCATCTGTCACCATGTACGTTGCTGGTCCTCTCACAAATCCAAGAAGACTTGAAAATTCTCCCGTAGAGGACTTAGGATGAACAATATTAAATGAACAACCACAAAATAAATAAGTCAGAGGCAAGCTTTCTGCCCCAATTGGTAATATCTGGTTGTTGAGATTAAATTGGGGAGCACATTGAGGTTTAGCTAGTTTGTCTTTGAGTCCCTCTGAACTTAAATATCTGTCTGAACACAATTCAATCATGCTCCCATATAATTTATCCATGCAGCTCACAGAAGAAAATCCTTCAAGCATGTGAAGCACTCCTCCCAGGGGAAAAGTGAGAAAACTAAAAAGAAAGTCTACAAACTCTTCCTCTGCTTCAGCAAACAGAATCTTACTATCTGATTTTCTTATTTGTACTTTTACAACCATTTGCCTAACACCCTCCTCAGATGCTATTTTTCCATTTTCAAACTGGTTTTGGTTTATTGGGGTAAAATAATCAAGATTTTGTTTCTTGCCTAAGATTAAGTCTGTCATAGGGGTCTTTGAAATCAATGAAAACTTGAGCAAGTCCACTACCTACACTCAAATATAAACAAATCATGATAAGAAACAATGAAAAAAAAAAAAAAAGAAGTATAATTACCCTTTCAACATCTATAAATATTACCTTTTAATTTTTATAATTATAAACATTATATTTTAGTTTATGCCTATATTATTTTTTATTTTTTTATTGTTTACAGCAAAACGTGAAAAAGATGAAGAGAACAAAAATAGTATGAATAGACTAAAATAAAACATTTTTTTTATTATAGGAAATAAAAGGTAAAATTTATGAAATTATAGAATAATCATGTTAAATAATGACAACCAAACTGAGAAAACAAACCTCCTTCTTACTGATATCCACAGTTTGTTCCTCAACAGTTTCCATGTGTTCAACTCCAAGCCTCTTAAACGCATTTACACTTGCTCCAAAAACATTAGGCATTATATGAAGATCATCAGAAACGATAAAAGAAGCAGTCTCCTTTACAAATCCATTTTGTAAATTCGGTTCAGCTGAGGAACTCACCACCCTGTTCATTAGTTTTCCACAACGACATCGTTGATTCCTAAAAGTACTCACAAGGGAAGGGTTTATACTACATGTCAACCATTTCTCACAAAAGTAGTACTTCTTGGGCTCAGTGTCGTCAATATTCAGCTTCAGTCGTTGGCAATAATGTTCCATAGAGTTCCTTGGATGCAGTAGCATTTCTCTACACGTTTCTGACCATAGATATTTTTCTTTAAGATGTGACACACTTTCATACAACGAGCTCAAACTACCAACTTTCACTGGGTGCACATTGGACTCCTTAGCCACTAGTCTAGCAATAGTCCCCAAAGGTAATGTCAAGAAACTGAAAAGAACATCTACAAAATCTTTTCCTGCCTCTGCAAACACAACTTTATTTTTCTCTTTGTCAACCAAGACTTTTAGGAGAAATGTGTGGTCTTGTTTGTTCGATCGTGATGTGTTTGCAACCATTGTAGCTTCTACAAATCACAGAGGCACTCAACAATCACAGATTACCTTTGCGGAAATCTACTTATAGAGCATTGTCTTTTGAAAAGATTCATATATTTAATTCGTGTGTTCTAGTTTTTAGACGACTTTGAAAAGGAAAATATCATTAATTACACCGTTTAAAAATCACAGGCATGGTTGTACTAGCATATATTTTGCTGATTCCTTGAAAAACATGAAACAATAACAATGAATTAACGAATATCCAAGAGACACCAACAAAATGTTGTACTAGCATATGAAAATAATAAATAAAAAAATTAATGAGTTAAATGCGATGTTATGTTTTTCACTGATTATTTTAAATTTTTTTTTTAACCTAACTCGTTCAAATGGTGCAAGACTCTTTATTGGGCTTCATCCTCACTCTTTTACTAAGCAAATATACGATGACATGAATAATTGATACCCCTATTAAGTATCAAATTTTATAAAATGGCATATTGCCATAAAATAAATTTTTCAAAAGAAATTTTTATATGTTTAACCATTGAATTTAAATTTCCCCCAAAAGGCCAAGTTTACAGTATATATATATATATATATATATATAAGATAATTGATATGATAGAAAGAGATGGAAAAAAAATCATATTTAACATATATTACACTAATAATGTATAACCTTTTTTCTCATTAAAAAAAAAAAAGCATACATGTTGTGATGAAAAGGTTTTTTTTTTCCTTGTGTTTTAAGATTAAGGAGGTCCAGTAAACCTGGGTACATCTTGTGTTAAATCTAATACTTGCATTTTTGCTTTTCAAAATAAAAACAACGTATCTAAGAAAATCTTCTAATTCAGTCATTGTATATTAAACATGATTTTTTATCTTACAAAAAATTATTTTTTGTATTTATTTTTTGATAAGAGGATTTTTAGAATTTTTTTTCTTCAACTTATTAGATTGGATTTTTATTTATCATAATTATTTATAAATTAAAATTTAATATTTTAAAATAAGTTATCAATAAATAAAAATAATATATTATGCCGCAATAAAAATTATTTATCATAAGTCTAAAATATAATTTATATACTACTGTAAAAAATATAATATATATATATATGTTTAACATGACTTTTTTACTCAAATAATATATTTTTAAAAATATTTACCCAAATAGAAACTGTGCAAATTTATTTTCCAAATATCAACTCTGCAAAATTAATGCATGTTCAAGCAGAACGGCACGTTCTGGTTGCAGAACAGGCCGTTCGAAACGCGCGAAAAAAATTAAAAAAAACAGTGAACAGTAAATGATGCTAGTTGGGGAAATAAATTTGCAAAGTTGCTATTTGGGCAACATTTTTTAAAAAATATATTATTTGAGTAAAAAACTCTATTTAACATATGTATTTATATAAATTTTAAATATAATTTATATATTCAAATATAATATTTATTTGTATATGTAATTTTATATATATATATATGTGTGTGTGTGTGTGTGTATGACTTTTATAATAACAATAAAGTCAAAATATTTTGTATCTCTATATTTTATCTAATAAAGATATTAAAGAATTACAAATGTTTGTTAAAATCAACTAGTGTTGTATTTGATCCTTAAATATCAAGGTCTCAAATTCAAATATTGTACTTGTAAAAGTAGTTAATTTTTAATATTTTTTATTATTTAAAAAATAAAATCGTTTAAAAAATGTGTACGCTAAATCAAATTATTGTTTTTATATATATTATATTTAATAAAAGTATTTAAAAATTATAAATATTTGTTAGATCAACTAGTTTTGTATTTAGTTTTCAGTCCTCAAGATCTCAAATTTGAATCTTGTGTTTAGAAAAGTTACTTTTTAATATTATTTTTTCTTATTTAAAAATTAAAGGATAAAATCATATAAAAAAAATATGTACATAAAAAAAACTATTATCTTATATATGTTACACCAAATGTTGTACTTGATATTCAAATTTCAAGGTCTAGAATTTAAGTCTTATATTTATAAAAAATAATTAAATTTATTATTTAAAAATTAAAAGATAAGATCGTAAAATAAAAATTATATGTTCACCAAATTAAGCTATCACATTTATATATTTTCTAGATGTTATAGAAAATAGTAAGCCACCCATGCTCCCATGCATAAAGCGCATTTGTTTACTTTTCTAAAAGTGTGTCTCACGTTACAAGACCAGTCTCTGTTTAGAGATTGATGAATTTTTATAATCTCAATTGCAAAGGTGGTAGTGAGGAATACTAATCATACTTTTCTTCTTATTACTTAACTCTTGTTCTTTTCATTTTCTTCATATACTCCCTCTCCTTTTTATTCATAGTCATTTAAAGTTTTACACGGAACTTAAGAAAATGATTAAAATTTTAGTTTTCAAAAATATTTATTACTTGCTTTCCTATTCTATCCTCTATTTTTTTTATAATATTTCATTAGAAACATATTATCCTTTTAAATGCAACATTAATTTCACATAAATAGTTAGAGAAAAAATAAGTAGATATTAGAAATAAATAGACACAATATTAAGTAAACATACATTAATTATCAAAGGTAAATATGAAAAAAAAGAGTAGTGTTTTATGCTCGATTTAGATAATGTTGAAATCCAATATAACCATTCGAATAGTAATCCATGAAGATAAATATGGATTAATAATATTTATTTCAAATCGAAATAGTGATAGAATTGAAACGGTTGATTGACCATTGTGGTATTGTTTTAAAAATATTTTACGCAAATGGAGTTGTTTTGTAACTAATTACACCTTTGGGATTGTTTACAACGGTGTCGCTATGGGCCATAGTGACACCCGTGACACGTGAATTTTTTTAACCCAGGGAATCCATAAGAGCCATATTGATAATGTCGCTATAGTCTATGACGACACAAAACGGCTTCAATTAAGTCGCTATAACCTACAGCATCACATTTTTAATATAAGATTAAAAAAATTTTAAAAAAATAAATAAATAGTTTAAAAAAAAACGAATTTGAAAAAGTGGCCTATGGCCTATAGCGACACAATGTCGCTATAGGCCATAGCGCCACTTTCATAAATATTTAAATACATAAAAAGGAAAAAAATATATATATAAAATAAAGAAAGTAAAGAAAAGATAAATATATAAATATAGATTTATATTAAATTCATAATAAAAATAAAAATGTGGAAAAAAAAATAAAGTAAATAATTAAAAAAAAATGTAAAAAATAGTGGCGCTATGGCTTATAGCGACACAAAATCGCTATAGGCCATAGTGCCACTTTTATAAATACTTAAATACATAAAAAAGAAAAAAAAAATATATATATATATATAATAAAGAAATTACAGAAAAGATAAATATATAAATATAAATTTATATTAAATTTATAATATAAATTAAAATGTAAAAAAAGAAATAAAGTAAATAATTAAAAAAAGATAACATAAAAAATAGTTGCACCATGGCCTATAGCGACTTAGCGACACAAAGCCGCTATAGGCCATAACGTCACTTTCATTGCATTGTAAGGGTATGAATCGTGAGGGGTTTCGTTGCATAGTGGCCGTTGGAGGGGATGGGAATCGACGGCTTTCATTTGCGATCCGTGGCGAGGTGTGTGGGGCATTCTTGAGTGTTGATTGGGATTTTTTGGACGATTAGATTGGATTGTGGGAAGAAGCCACGGATCGCGATTTCTTTTGTTTGCTTTGTTGTGTCTCGTGAGGGGCACATGCTTGCTTTATCGTTTTTGTTTCACAGTAGACTTTCCGAAAATAAAGGCTAGAATAATAATGTACTTTCACACCATTTTTTAAAATTATTTTAGTTTTTAAGTAAATATTTTTTAAAATAAACTTAATTAAAAATATAAAAAACAAGTTTTTAAAATAAAATATTAATATTTACAAAATAAATAAAATAAATAATATACAAAAATAGTGTCGCTGCTCATAACGACACCTATTTTTCCAATTTTTTTATTTTTATTTTACTTACTTATTTTTTCCCAGTTTTCTTTAATTTAACATATAATAATATAAATTTATTTAAATTATTTAATTCGTGTACTTTTAATTAAAAATTTAAAAACAAAAATTTAAAAATAAAACGTGAATATTTGCAAAAAAATAAAATTATACAAAATGCTTGACGTTATGACCCATAGCGACACCAAGTTGCTATGACCCATAACGCCTCTTTTAAAAAATTCATATAATTTAATTTAAAATTACATTTTTAAAAAACTTAATTTTATTTTTATAAATATATAATAAATAACTCAATTTATTATTTTTATTTTATATCTCTATTATTTTTGGTTTTTTTTCTTACACAATGTCGCTATAGACTACATTACTTTTGTTAGTCCATCAAGTGTGCTGGCCCAGCCTATAGCAATACTAGTGTGGCTCATTCCAGCCCAACCTAAGCAAAAAAAAATGTCACATGACATGAGTGTCACTATGAACCATAGCGACACCGTTATAAACAGCCCTAAAAGTGTAATTAATTACAAAACAACCACATTTACGTAAAATATTTTTAAAAGAGCCCCGTTAAACATATTCAAGTAGAAAACCATAAGCGTTGCTAGTTCTACTAAAATGATTTCACTAAACGAATTTAATCGACTATTGAAAAACTTATTCCTTTTTTCATTATTTATTTTAGACATTAGATTATAATGCTATTTATTTTTAATTTTAATTTGGCCTCTTAAAAAATAAGAGTCAAAAATCAATTAAAAATTTTGAGGAAATAATCAATTAACCATTTAAAAATTATTTTCCTATCAAAATAGAAAGATATTAATATATATATATATATAATATTATATCATTTTATATTTATTATAACTAGTTCAACTGTTAATTTGCACTGGCAACTTTATGCTGAAATTATTATTTTTCTTCTAATTTTCAGTTATTTTTTCAACTTTCAAATAATTGCTTTTGTCGAACTCAATGTATAACAGAATAATGAATAACCGCAAAACCTTTATACTGAAGCTAATAAATACAGTGCAAATAATTGATAACGTAAAATCTAAATATAAATGATAAAAAGATAAAAATATTTTTCTATCGTGTCTATAAATAAATACGTAAAAAGAAGACAAAAGTAAAAAACATCAGCACAACAGGAAATACTTAGAATTACTTATAAAAAAATAGAAAATTAATTAAACACATATTTCTAAACAATTTAATTTTTTAATATTTATTTATTTACACAGGCATTCAGATCGTGGGTCTGCAAAACCTACTCAACTCCCAGCATATTAACTAAATTTAATGTGTATATTTAAACATCAATTTTTTTTTTGTTCTGGGAGTATCCACCTCGCTACGTTGGAGATAACTCAAAGAGTGGAATAGCTGACTGACAAGATTCAAACCCTTTGCTTAAAGGTAAATCAACCCCTACCACATATTTAAACATCAATTTAAAATTACTTTTAAATTAAAAATACATTCTAATGAAAAGAAAAAGAAAGCAACTTTTTTTCACTCCGTTGATAGTTGAGCCAAAAACACTATCACAAGATTTATTTATCATTAAAGTAAAAAACCTAAAATTCCATTCCCATCATTCCTAATCGTCAATAATTCAGCACAAATATGCGATAACAGTAAGTAAACACTCACAGCAAATCAGACACACAAATATGGAATAACAGTAAGTAACAAGCACAAGAATGCATAAAAGCGTGGAATAATATGATCATGGTGATGAGTAAAAGGTGAAAATAAGCATTGAGATGGTAACAGGCAGAAATGAGAAATTCAAAAAACCCTAGAAAGAAACGAAACGCATGATTGGAAGGGTAAGACAGTGAGAAACGAGAAGCTACCAAACGGCACCAACACTCAACAGGCATGCAATCTGATAGGAGAGAAAAGCATCCACGGCCGCATACTGAACCTGCTCGGCAGAGAGCCAGCGATGATCCCACCTACTCATGGTGATCCGCGTGGGCTTCTGAACCTCCAAGCCCAGCACGCGGAGGCCCAATGCCTTAAGCCCAGCCTGATTCAAGGCACGGTCACCGAGCCTCCCCGCTGCGAGGGGGCGAAGGTCACGCACATTGGCCACGTGGAGATTGTAGTCCTGGAGAAGCTTTTCGGCGTCCGCACGGATCCCAACTCCGAAGAAAGTGACAGCGGGGTCGGCGAGGAAGGAATCGAGGGAGCGCGGGATGGAGGGAGAGTGGAGGATTTGGAAAACAAGGCAGCGGTTGGCGATGCAGAGTTGGAGGGTGGCCACGGGGTTGTGCATGTTGGGCTGCGTGTTGGGCCGCCACTCCATGTCCAGGCCCACCATGAGTCCGCGGCGGTTGGTTGCGTTGTCGGAGAGCCATGAGTCGACGTGGGAGGGGGAGGAGGTGAGGAGAGTGCGGATGGTGTGGGTGTGGAAAGTGACGTCGTAGAGGTTGTGGGTTTCGTAGGGGAGACAGTGGTCGACCACGTTGACCAAGGCCACGCGGTTGCGGTTGCGGTTTCGCATCCAGAGAGGCACGCCGTTTTCGTCCACCACCTCAATCATACTTGCAGACCAAGAAAGATTCAGAGAGAGAGAGAGAGAACGAGGGTTTTGATTTTGGAGTGTAATGCGTAGGGGTGGGTATGCGGACCGGTCCGGCCCGTTTAAGGCCCGGTCCGCGAAGTCTGCATTTTTAACGGGCCGGATAAATCCGGTCCGCGAAATAAATAGACTTAAATCTTCAAGTCCGTATCTGGCCCGTGAAGCCCACGGATAAACGGATAAGTCCGCGGGCCCAATTAAATCTAAATTGTTTAAATGAATATTGACTCAGATTTTGAATTTCTTTTCCTTTATTTAACCTATGAAAACATGAGGAAAAAAATATAAAATCATATAAATATACTTCTAATAATAACATCAAACATTGTAAATAATAAATCAAAGTCTTAAATAACAAAGTTTACACATTCTAAATTTCTAATAGAAATATTTAAGTCTCAATGCCTTTAAAATTTAAAGTCCAAGCATACCAACTATTAACCAAATATTAAAGCCAGTACATCAAAGTCTAAATACCTTAAAACATAAAGTCTTAATTAATATCTTAAAAACAAACATAAAATATTTGTAAGTCCAATTACATCTATCAAATATAATCAACCATCTCCAATAATAAAATTTGAGTCCACATTTAAACGGGTAATCCGCGGGCTCGCGGATTAAATCCGCAAAATCCGCGGACTAAACAGGCCGGGCCTAAAAAGTCCGTATGATTATACGTATTAAAAAAAATGGGTCCGTTATCCGTGAAGTCCGCGGACTTACGGACCGGTCCGCGGACTCAAGTCCATATACCCACCCCTAGTAATGCGTGACTACTGGAGAAACCGTACTTATTTATATTCACTCTGCTAATTGTTACGTCATCATTTCAACCCAAATCGTACGCTTTGTTATATTTACGGTTATATATTTTTTTTTGTCTTTTGTCTTGTTATTCAAAATCTTCATTTTTCTTTTTCAAAAATTAAAAATAAATTTCCTTTCACAGTTTAACTAAGTAGGAATGCAAGGGTAATAGACTTTTTTTAAAAAATATTGTTTTTTTATTATTTAAATAACTTGGACCTATTTTTATTTATTCAAATTACCCATTTTCAGGTTTAAATGAGAAATCAGTTACTGATTCTCAAAGGATTTTTTTAAAAATAATTTCTGAAAATTCTTTGAGAAATCGGTTACCGAGTAACCAATTTCTCAATTTGGTCTTTTTTTTTATAGATTTTTTAATTTTTTTTGTTTTTCATTTTTTAATTTTTAGATTTTTTAAAAAATTATAATTAATTTTAAAAAATTAATTTAGTTTAGTTTTAGAATATAAAAAATATATTTAATATTTAAATTCAAATTTTTTTAATATATTGTTTTCTTAAAAAAAATATATTTTAAATAAATGTAAAAAATAAAGATAATGTTAAAAAGAATATAATTAATATAATAAAGAAATATAATTTAAAAATATTTTAATGTATTTTAAAATTTTAATAATGAAATTATATTTTTAAAATATACAAAATTTAATATTATAATTTAGTAAATTATTTGTTAAAATTATAAATATGTTAATTAAGAATGTCATTGATTTACGTGCGTCAGGAATCAAATGTTTTGGTCACGAGTGTCATTGGTGCAGAGTATCATTGATGCAGTGTGTTATTGATGTAGAGTGTCATTGATGCAAAGTGTCATTGATGCAGTGTGTCATTGATGTAAAGTGTTATTAATGCAGAGTGTCATTAATGCAGAGTATCAATAATCTAATATTTTAGTCATAAGTGTAATTGATTAAACCCTATCTCCACCTTTTATTTAAATGAGATCATTATTGGGTTCAAATGCAGAGTGCAATTAGGCCAAGTATCTTGTTTTTGTGTGTTAGTCTTTGTCTACAATAATGTCTTCCTCTTCTTTCCGTGTGTTAGTCTTCAATTTTGATCGGATAGTATTACATAAAACAAAAGGATATTTAAGTCATATAACACTTTAATTATTGTTAGAGTTAATAACCTATACACTGCCAATGTAAAAGTTTTTTTTATACTAGCAACCAATTATATCTTTTAATTGTGCTATGTCACTATTAAAAGTAAATGTGTTTATAGTGACATGACACAATTAAAAGATATAATTGGTTGCTAGTGTAAAAAAAACTTTGCTAGGTGATTAACTCTTATTGTTATGATTTACATTAAGTTTTTCAGCTAGCTGAGGACAATTTGTTCAATTTTATCTTTCAATCCTACAATGTCCAAAACATTGCCTATATTGTGATTTTGCCCAATTCATTTCATTGTGTATATGAGTAGACTTTAGATGTCCCTTCGCACACAACTTAGATTAATCAAGAACAATATAAAGCCTATGTTTAGGTTGTATGTTGGAATCATAACCAATTGGATACCACTATTCTAAATATGCTTATACTATGTATTGGTTTGAATAATTTGATTCAACATAACTGTACAAATTGACACATACTTACACACAAACATCTATATGGCATGAGAATAAGGATACATATATGCTTGAAAAATACCGTATTTGCAAGTTCAATTAATAAGTATTATTGTCCAAATTTGTGCACCTCGTTAAGTTACTAGATTGAATGCTTCTTTAACCTTAAACTTTGTGACTTCAAAATCAAATCTACATACAACATGATAGATTGCATCGTCTTGATTTTTTTGCATAGTCTCCATTAGTTTACAACTATTGTTCATCTCATTCAAAGATTGTTACCGCTTCACCTCATCTTTGATAAAAAAATACTCAACCAATCTAAAATACGTGCATTTAGCTAGTGTAGTGATAAGCAAATTTGAAGCCCTCTTAAAATCTTATTTACAAACTCTAACAAGTTTATTGTTATGTGATCATATCCGCAATCATGATCATTTTCACGATCATGATCTTATTTATAGACGTACTTCTAAGCTTATTTCACAAAACTTGTCTAGTCTCCTTTGGAATTGATGTTAGCAAATAGAATATCTCATGTGAAATTCACTATAAAGTATCTATGTTAAAAGAATTTGATTGCTATTTTTCTTAAAATTAATTCAATGACTAATATACTAATTAAATGCATATATGTCTATTTTAAAATTATTATACAATACTTTAAAACAATAATTAAATAAAAGTTAAATTTTCAAATAAAAAATATTTACAAAATAATGTTTATACATTTAATTCATATATTTAATTCTAACATAAATTAATGAAATATTAATTAAATACATCTCCTATAATACTTTAAACATTTTATTTTACTTATAATTGATTTCAACAACCAATATAATAATTAAATGAATTTATGTCTATTTTAAAATTTTTACATAATGCTTTAAAATTATAATTAAATAAAAGTTAACTTTTCAAATAATAATACATTTACAATATCAAGTAAATATAAATATAATTAATTTATATATTTAATTCTAAAATAAATTAAAAAATATTAAGCAAATACATCTAATATAATGCTTTAAACAATTGAATTTTTGAAAATTAATTTCAATTAATATACTAATTAAATGCATCTAGTATAATAATTTATAAGAATAAATAAAAAAATAAAAAAGAATATCAAATTTGAAATATTAAATGCTAAACAATAAATAAACTATAAACATTTTCTTATTTCTACATATAAGGTAATTAATCAAATATATAATATTTCACAAATAAAATACAAAATAATAAAAAAAATTATTGCCATAAATATTCAATCCGTAGAATTTAAACTATAAAATAACATTAAATATTATGAGATAAAAAAATTTTAAAAACTAAATATTATAAATAATCTTCAAAAATACAAATATGAAAATAATAAGAGATGAAATTTGAAAAGACGAAGGAGGCTTTAGGGATGGCAACGGGACGAGGCGGGTACGAGTTTTATGATACTTGTCCTGTCCTTTTGAGTCAAACTTATCCTCGTTCTCGTACTCGTACTTGTACTCATCGGATATATGATTTTTATCTCCATCCTCAACTCTGTCCTCGTTAGATATCAGGTATATCTGTACTTGTACCCATCAATTTTTTTATTTTTTATTTTTTTTTAATTTATTATATTATAATTATAATTAGGTTATTTCTCTATCTCATATTATAATAAATAATCACACATAAAAAATATTAAAATTCTTTGATATAATTAAATTGAAAGTGAGTATTAAATTAAAAATGGGAAATGGGACGGGTACGGGTAATATATATATATATATATATAAATACGACACATACTCATATTTAATTTAATAAATCAAATTTTATTATACTCATACTCATACCTAATTAAATTAAATATTTTTTTTATAAAAGTCAAGATAAATTTAGATATTATTTACGGGTGTATATTAATCATCCTTATAGACTATACGTGAAGATAACGAAGAGGTGGTGGTGGTACATAATGCCGAACGCCAAAAATTGAAATAAAAGCCTGCAACTTTGCTGCCCGGGAAGAGCTGAGAGGACTGAAGCTGGAGATGACAAAACGTTTCCTTCCCTGCCTTCTGCTCAAGTGTCACCTCACCTGTGCTCACATGCGCCTCACTCACTCGCCTTCTCTTCTCTCACATTTTTAAAACTAGAAAGATCAACAAACTCAAATATTCAACTACTTGGATTCAATATGCTCTATGATTCATTAGCTCAATTACTTCCACCTTATATATTTTACTCATATGTTTTCTTACTCTCTTAGAAAATTTAGTTGATTTATCATTCAGTACTTTAAAATATTTCAAATGATTTGCACGTTAACTACGTATGTTAATGTAACATTGGAAAAGTTAGGGCGGTGTTATATACTTATAGCACCCAAGATTCTGTAACTATGGACAAGATATAATTGATGGATCAATTCTCCTCCTTAATAGTGTTTCAGACCATCTGTCAAAGCAAATGCCGAGGGCAAAGAAGCTTTCAGCATTGCAAGACCCTGCACCATGCAAAGAAAGAGTGTGAAGGTGCTAGGTAATATCATACCATACAAATAACAACATGCCATGAAAGAAGCCTCTCATACAGTGTTTACTACCTCCTTCACACCAATTGC